AACAACACTAAGAAATTAGCCACCCTGTTAAGTTAACATTTATGTCATCTGCACAGTCAAACCCTTCAAATTATCACCATTTTCTAATTTGTGTTAACTTAAAATTGATCCCAAACTCCATATTACACACTAACAAACTGAAAATGCTAAAATGTGTATTAGTATTCCTAAATCCTAAGGCACAATCTTCACTAATATACAAAGGAGTAAAGAAACAAAAATGAGGAATAACAGTTTTTTGATCCATTGCAGGCCCATGCAGGGTTCTGGAACAGGAAGTAAGCTCCTAACGGAAGAACCAGGAGGTAATCCTCTCAATGAATAAACCCCCCATCCCCTTCTGAAGGAAGAAACTAATCCCCAAGCCATTTTCTTTATTGACACTGGAGAATTTACAAGTGCAAGGATTGATGCTTTGGGACCCGAGGAATTCCTTCAAAGTTCAGACACTTGAATATGGAGGCAATGGGATTCAGCATTTAAAAAAGAAAAAGGAAAAAATAGTCGTGATAAAACAAATATGAAGGGGAGAATTAAAAGCGGAAAAGAAAACTAACCTGTTTATAAGTCATACTTGAAGGTGGATCATGGTATGGATTAGTCAATGCTACGCGATCACCATATCTCTCAGCTGAAGATCTCCAAATGTCTGGCACTGCATGCCACTCACCGGACACAAAGGCACCATTCCTGTCTAGGAACGCACTTTCTAGAAATGGTGAATACCTTCTTATCTGCATTTCCTCTGTCTGTAACAGAATATTTTGAATACAAATATATGTCAGTTCCCTCTATCTCTGTTTCAATCCATATACTTTGGATCATCAGAGCATATACGTTGTCTTATTCCGTACTTAAAAATTAATCTGCAAAGCATCTGATATGAACATGTTCAATTTCTCTAATACCCAGCTCCTGATGGCATAAACTAAACCTCACATTTTAAATGTCTATGAATGATCTAAACCCCAACTTCTATTTCAGGGGAATGCCATCTCATGCACATTCTCACCAACACTGATAGAATTAGTAACATTTTGCAGGCAACATTACGAACCAAAACATATTAAAAAGAGCAGAAAAATGACAATACAAATCAAAAAAAGACCAATCAAAGTAATAAATTCATCGAAATTCTCACAAGGGTGTTCAAGAATCACCTTTGATTGGCAAAACACTCGGAACCCACGATTCAGAGGGAACCCACCTCGCCTTCCATTCCATGTTCCAAGAAAGACTTGCCTGGTTCTGAATTTATAGTTAGAAAAGAGGAATTGAAGGGCATGCCCACAATGAGAAGAGCTAACCAAGACCAAGTTGTTCCTTAAGGAAATGGTGGCCATTTGATTTGCAGAAGCAGAAGAAGAAACTGGGGAAATTGGGTTTACCACAGCTCCTAACATGGCTCTGTTTTTGTAACTGTGGGTTTGACTTTCTGTAGATTATGGATATAGCCAGAAGGACAGAGATAGGAAGCGAGAAAAACAAAGACAAGAGTTCAAACTGTTTGACAGAGTGTAATGATTGGGATCTTCAGCCGACCAAATATATAAGTTGTGATATAGATTGGGATCTTTGAAGTATTCGCCCATTTCAATAACCAAGTTTAAATAGTGAGAAGAACTAGAGAAAGTTGAGTGCATCAATTGCTTCGACCAAAAAACAAGCGCATCAAGTGAAACCCGTCGCGCGGACCACAAACGTTAATGTTTTAAGGGCAATCACTTGAAATTTTGAAAAGTAGACAAGTTTTTATTTTTATTTTTTGTGCAAATTGGAATTCATTAACCAAATCAAGAGGGCACAACAGTATCATCTAGTAGGAAAGGCTCCAACCAAAGGCTCTTCAATCCAGGTTACAATAGTGATGCAGTTTAAAGCATGTTTAGCTAACACACGAGCAACCAGGTTACAACCCCTTGGAATGAAAAAAACTGAAATATTCTCAAACTATTGCATAGTCCTCTTAACATCATCAATGAGATGCGCATACGACGCAAAAGACGACTCCTCATCAATAATCAAGTTATTAATCACTACTTGTGAATCAGACTCAAACATATGATAGAAGAGTGTTGGAAGTTTGAATGAAATTCAAGGACATTTGTCTCACATTGGTAGAAAGAAGAAAGAGTGAGCTCTTTATAACTGTGGAAGTCTCACACTTAGTAAATGAAAGTTGAGCCAAGTAAAAGTCATTTGGGCTTTAAATTCGATTTGGGCATAGTGTTTAGCGCATTTAGGGCTTCAAATTGTCTGATAGGAAAACAATCAAAGTTTGCCAGATTCTAAGCCTTAATACTAGGGCTTAGAATACAGATAGTTGAATCTTGGGAGGTTAGGACATTGCATCAAATCTGCAAGCCTCTATCTCAAATCCAAGTTAATTCATTTGTTTATTATTTATTGTATTTCAAATTACAGTTTGTTATAAATTCAATTTCGTTGGTGTTTATATATTGTTGATATATATGTAATCATTTTTATTAGTCATTGATTTTTGTTTATCCAATAAAGAGAATCCAGCATCCCGAGTGAAATTCAACTTGAATTGAAGTTGCCTTAATCTTGGCATGCTTTTGGGAGGTGGCGGTGTCAAGGGGAAGCGTCATAGCGGCCATTACTTCACCTTTGTCATTTCTAATGACAGCACCAATTCCACCGACACCGGGAATATAAGGAGCATCTATATTGAGTTTAAATTACCAACAGGAGGGGGAGACCATTTGGATGTTTTCTCAACAACTATATTAGACTCCCTTCTCATGAGCCCTCCTCCATACTCCTCAGCCAGATGCAATGTTCTATTAAAAATCATCTCCTCTGTTTGAAAGCAGGCTTCAAACACAACCTTGTTTCTGTTTTGCCAAATACTCCGGCAGATGTATACACGCAATTCAAATTTTGAAAGAAAAACAGTAGCAGCCTCAAAGAAATCACCGCAATGCCATCTCCAACCCAAATGGGGCTAAAACCAAATTTCTCCCTTTTAAAATACAACTATTCACGTATTGCCCGAACTCAAACAGTTTTTTTCTCGTTAATTTTTCTTGATATTATTTTTGTTTCAACCTAAGTTGAATTGATTTTTTTGAGAATTTTAACTTAAAAAATCCAAAATATAAAATTATTTCACTTAAAATGAGAATGAGTGCAGAAGCACAGTAAAAATAACTAAAAGGCGCAAGTTCAAATACAACCATAAAATTATTTCACTTGAAAATGAGCACAGGAGCATAGTAAAAAAAAACAAACATAAAATTATTTCACTTTAAAATAATAATTAAAAAAAAACAAAAGGAGCAAGTTCAAATACAACCATTGGATGCAAATGGTCAATACTCCAGCGGATTTAGTTTGGGCCCCCACAAAAATTATTGCCTGGACTGCTAAATGGTCCCAAATTTTGCCTGAAAAACCAGCTAGGTAATAATTTAGCCTACCTATACTAGCGTTGGGGAGAGTTCTTAGGCTAAAATCCCAAATTTTAGGTTTAGCCCCTTGCATTGGAGATGGCGGACAAATGCAACCCTTTAAAAACCTCCACAAATCTCACTTTCTTCCAGACTTTTTGAGCACCAAGACAACTCCAAAACTGCATGAATTAACTTTTCAGAATTTACTTTACAAATGGGGCAAGAGTCATCATATACTATTTTCCCCTTGACTAAATTAGTTTTACAAGAAAGAGAGTTATGAATGGCCCTCCAATTAAAAAAACTGAGTTCGGGAGGCACCACACTTTCCCCAAAATGGACTTTTGGTCACTTGAGTTAGGCCATCTCCAATGGAGGCTCTAAAGTGAGCTGCACCACCCTTGGGTTGCAATATATAGCAACTAAAGCAAAAAAGTCATCCCCTAGTTCAATTTTGAGGCCTTAAATGATTGAGCCCCATCGGAGCTATACCAAATTTATGCTCACTGTTGAAGCTCCTGAAACCGAATGAGGCCTACATAAAGAAAAAGCTGCCAACCTATATGTGTTGTTGGTGACTTGCCTTGTGACTGCAGCTCATGATACTCTCTTCTTGACCAATGATTGCTTCTCTTTGCTTTATATTTTATTTAATGTGACCAATGAGAGGGGATGGGCTACGTTTTTGTGTTTTTTGACAGATGAGACTTTCTTTTTTTTCAAGGCAACAATCTAGTTTTTTTTCATAGGAAAAATTTTCAAATCTTGTCTAAATTTTGATTTTTTTTTTATAGAAAAAAAAAAAAAAAAAAAAAAAACTTATAATATACATATATAATCAAAGCAAATCATTTTATTTATTTTAAAAATAACAAATATATAAAATTATATCGAATATATAGCCCTTCTGTTGTGAAAGTACTTCCTTTAGAGCCTCAAAGATTCCATCGGAACCCTAAATGAGGCTCTATCAACCTCTTTTAAAGCCCCAACCATTGGGGATGGCCTTAGAGGGGGAGCCAGCATCCCCATGGCAACCACTTTTTTTTTTTTATGTGCAAGAGCAACAAAAAAATAATAATAATCCATACTAAAGGGCTAATTGGCTTTTTATTTTTTATTTTTTATTTTTTTGATTTATATCTATATGCCATCTTAGAGATCATGCTAGTTACATCCTTCAAATTATACTAGAGTGACCTCACAAATAGAGAGCGCCAAACAGGCTAAAAATGCATCACATTGTTTTTTCTTTTTTTCTTTCTTTTTCGATCTGATACAAAATGCACCACATTGTTAATAGCCTCCCTAAAAGTATGACGAAACTGCGAATGACAAAGTGGTTGAACACGGCTCCAATATCATCCAGAGGTGTCCATAAAAGTATATGTCTTGGCCTGATGCTGTTATTTTGCTGAGAACCGTATATTTCTGGTCATCCTCAAAGAGTCACACTAGGGAACTTGCAAGATCCATGACCTGCTTAAATTATATATCAAAAGTAAAAATCCGGAAGAGAAAATCAAGAGGACTAATTAGTCACTTAGAATGAGCGCATGGGTAAATGCTATTAATCCCTTGAGCTCATGGGTAAAGAACATCTTCCGTTCCATCAATTGCAGAGAAAGAAAACTTACTGGGGTCCACAGTGGTTTGCTCTGCCAGCCCATTGAAATAGCAAGTAGCTCCATGGCTCCTAAACTTGGCCCAGTAGGAACTGAAGGCATAGCTCGCATGCAAAATCTCTGAGACTGGTTCATAGCACTCCTTCCCTGGTGAAAGCGCATCACACGTACCATTCCCTGCACCACTATTGCACAAATTGGTTAACGCCGAACCCAACTCATCATTATTTACACCCTTAGCAACCACACACCACACGCTGCCCTTGTAAGGACTGTTATTATTCGCTTCCGGCAAGGGCTCGTAGTCCTCCAATCGCCGTTTTCCTGTAATCAAGGTATTAAATATCGATGTTAATAAAAATACCAAAATTCCAAAAATGCAGGTTTAGCGAAAGAACGAGTTTTGTTATTTGTATCATCTCAATTGACTATCTAGTGTATCATCTTTCTAATTAAATATGTTTGATTGATATATTAGAGAGACAGATTTTACACTCAACAGTCAATTAAGATCTTCGATATAAATAGAAATTATATGAAAATTCTAAGTAAAATCATGCGATAAATGAACATATTTTAGGAGCTTGCCTGTCAAGTCAATGTCATAAATGGGAGTTCCATCAGCATGCAACAAGCCCCAATGCCTCTCTGTCCCTGGCCCTGTCTTTTGATTTTCATCAAACAATGAAAATATGAACGTAGGTATGACTACACCAGGCCTAGCTGGTGTCCCAAGAGGTGGCTTAGCGACCATTCTATGTATCAAATTTCGGTTATATGTGGCTGCATTATGTATATTTGCACCAGGCTGTTCGATGTCACCGGAATTAGGCCAGCCGGTCTCCGTGATCAAGAGCCGGATGTTCGGGTACCCTAGCTTGGCCATGGCATGGATCAATGAGTCAAGCATTTGGTCTAGGAGGTTAGTGTAGATCAACCCACTTCCCGGGTCAGTGTAGTAGTCAGTATTGTTGTTTCCCCTAAATAATGCAAAGTCTAGACTAATGTTCGTGGTGTTTGAAGACCATGGAAAATAAGGATACACATCAATGAACATAAAGGAGTTGGTCCGGTTCAAAAATCTTAGCATTGGGGCCATGACCGAATTGGAGATATCGGGCCTAAACATGCTGTTTGATGGTGGGAATGTTGATTGTAACACATCCATGGCTAATGGGGTACCTACTTTGATGTTTGTGATATTTTGCGCTTTGAGGGAGGACTTAATTTTAGTCATGGCAGGGACAAGATCAAGCCACATTTGGCGATCTTGGTCCGAGGAGTTGTAGCTAAGGACTTCATTGCCGACAAGGAGGTACCTTATCAGGGTCGGGGGGTAATAGGGAAGGACATTGTTTCGAACCCATTCATCGGCTTTGGCTTGGTTTGATGCAATGGTTGAGATTTCATTGTTTGGGACCATAATAGAGACTTGCAGACTGGTGCCGGACAGGAGATTTAAGATTTCCGGGTTGGAGTCGTAGAGCTTCACACGCCCTGCATTCATGGATTTGATGAGCTCAATGGAGCTGTTTGGGGATGGCAAATTGTTGCCAAGCTGCCCATAGTTTATGCCAATTTTGCTTGAGATCTCTGCAACTGTCAAGTGGAAACAAAAAAGGAGTTAGTGGAGACATGAAAAAGGGGATGCATAAATATACCAAGTAGCAAAGTGATGATTTTAACTATATGGCCTCACAAACTTACATGAAAGACCAAGGAGAGGGAAGAGAAAGAAAACCAGAGGTCCCATTTGATCTCTTGCTGCTTTGATCGTTACAGAGCTGGGATATATGTTTTTGAAGCATAGAGCTCTCTAACATGTATATATATACTGGAGTGATCTTTTGTGAGGGTGTGCAGAAGGTGTGAGTATGTTCAAATAGAGCTGAGATTAGATAATTTAAATGTCCATGCAAGAAGTTCTAATTTGGCAAATTATTACCTGAGTGATCTTTTGTGAGGGTGTGCAAAAGAAATCTTGATTTCTATTGGTTAATATGTGGTCAAAGAAACGAGCGAAGCATAGAAACATGTGGTATTGATTCATAAAGTAAAAGGCAAAGATTGTGATATAAAAGCATATAGGCGATATGGAGCTTTTTCTTGGGTTCCATTAATTTTCTCGTTCTTTCATTATACATAAAAATCGTTTCAAATTGGATCACATACAAAGCTAACCTTAAGTTAGCACAAGTGTGGATTAGGGAATTAATTTAACATATACACTTGTGCGAATTAACGATTACCTAGTGCATTGGAGTGCCTTCAGCCGGTGTCAAGGTTCTTATTTTTTTGGGTCAAGATGCCAAGGTTCTTAGGAAGCTTATCTCTTTTACAAAATTTAGCATCATATGCCAAAGTACGTTGAGAATTTATCAAAAATAGTCACAACTTGACCCCTAATTTAAAAAAATGTCAGTTTTTGTAAAAATAAAAAATCAAATATAGCATAAAACTCACCTAAATAAACACAAATACCCTCAAATTTAAAAACCACATAAACCTAAAAAAGAAAACCCTATTAGATTGGGAATCTTTGTACGTAGAGTTTGTTCGCAGACATATTGCTGCCATAGTCAAATGGTGAGTGCAGTTCTTCCTTGGTTCTTCATTCAATTTCTTCTTCGTTTCTTCGTTTATTCTTCATATATATTTATAAAATTTCAATTCTGGTTTTGCTGACTTAACTCTTGAGCCCTATCCAAAGTGCTATGATTTAATATCGTCAATTCACTTTGAGCCTACATCCAAGTTAATATGATGATTCTGACATATGTGTAGCAGAAGATGTAATCACATCCTGATGTTATTAGTTCATCAGTATGGACCTTCAACCAACTTGGATGTGTCTAAGGTTTATTTGGTATCCATTCAGTTTTGTAATTTTTCTGTTTCAAATGTTAAAGTTCTTGCTTTTACTTTGAGTGCCAGGAGAAAGCCAGTTTACACTCGAGTTAGAATACATCAAATAGAACTAGAAAGCTAGTGTGTAGGCTATTATTAAGACTTGCACATATGTTTCCTTTATTTTGTCAGTGATCTTGAATCTTAACTTTTATTTTACTGCACATAGAATGTGGAATTACTCTCAAGGCCTTTGAATTTGCATCCAGTTATGCATATGTTCCTTGTTGTAGGCTATTATCCTGCTGCTTATTTAAGTAATGCCTTCTTTTCTTCCTTGTTGTTCTCTTTGACTTTGTTCAAACTACAAATATAAAAACAGATGCATATGTTCTCTCTGAATTTTATCCAAATTTTTTATATGGTATGTAAGGCTAGATTTTATATGCTGCAGATTGCATAGACAGATCATATCTTTATGCTATTTCTAATTTCAATTTTTTTTCCATAGTTTAAAAGCTTTATTAATTTCTACTATGTTTCATAGTTATGTTTTTGGTTTCATTGTGAATTTTTGGTTTGTTGGGTTATTTTTTAATTAATATTTTTGGCTTACCTTTTCAGGCAAATGTCTAGTTTGACAATTTTTATTAACTATATAGTGGGAGGTGAGCTAACTCGATGTATAAAAATTGCAAAAGTAAAGGACTACTTGTTTCAGACAAAAGTGTATGACATTGCCAATGTGGACCGAAATGAGTATGAGGTAACTATGAAAGTGATATATGATGCAATGAAAAGGGCATGGCCCATAGAGATAGTCAATGATGATGATCTAAGAGCTTTTATTTTTGAAAGCCTTTCAAGGTCTTACAAGATTCCATTGTGCATTATAGTGAAACGTAAATTATTTTCTTATGGAAGTGGAAGCAATCAACAACTCCACTGGTTGAGTTCGAACCAATGCCAATGAACCTCAACTAGAGTACTCAAGGTGATTTAGAAGATTATGAGCAAGATAAGGATTTAGAAGATGACTTGGGAACAGAAGAAATGGAGGACTCAGAATATGAAGTGGAAAATAATACAATACATGTGGATGAGTTGCGTTCTGAGAACATGCTATTTGAGGATATGCCACATGTAGAGGTTGATAATATTTTTCAAGATAATGTTGCCTTTGAAGAAAACATGAGATGTGACAAAGTGCCAGCTATCAACGTGCAATGTGATGAGCCTAACTCTAACAATCCAACTGCTCCAAACAAGGATAAAAACATTCTACATGGACCAAACATGACAGAGCTACGCAATTCAAGTGGAGATATAATTGTAGGTCAGGTGTATGAGTTTAAGGAGGATTTAAAAACAAAGTTGGGTATTGATGCTATGGAGAAAAATTTTGAGACATGAAAGCATTCGGAAGGCTATCTCCACTATATTTCCTGATGCTCATCATGGGGTATGCATATTCCATATAAGTCAAAATCTTAAGAACCACTTTAAGCATGAAAGAGCGTATTCGCTTTATTTTAGAGCTGCTAAGGCATATCGTATTCCCGAATTTGATCGTCATATGGTGCAAATATTTAATGTTGACCCTCATGTGGGTAATTATCTTCATGCAGTTGGATATGAAAATGGGCTCGTGCGTACTTAAATGGGAAGTGGTACAACCTAATGACAACAACTATTGCTGAATGTCTCAATTCAATCACCAGAGATGCTCGTAAGTTGCCTATCACCAATTTTATGGAGTATTTAAGAATGAATATACTTCAAAATTGGTTTCATAAGCATCGAACTGAGGCAACCAAAATGGATTCAGATTTGACGGAATGGGCTGACAAGTTGGTGCGAGAAAATAACCAAAAAGGATTATCATTACAGGTATTTTGAATTCATTATCTTTTTTTTTCGTTGTTGCAAATATTTAATTTTAAAGAAATAAAACATACTAGGAACTTGTCCTCTGCAAATAAGGCTACCAAATGAGAAAGAAAAGTTAGTAATATTAATGGGCATATCATTCAATTAAAAAAAATTATTGAATTCGTTTGTTCTTGTGTTTAAGGAACAAATTTGTTGAAAAGATTTCTAATAAAATGGTTGGGGAGTATTTATAATGTATCTCATTTTTCTTGAATATACAGGTTTCTCCTATTGAGGCATACTCATTTCATGTATACGATGGAAGTTGTGTTGAAGTTGTAATTGCACACAGTGGCGGATCCAGGATTCAAAAGTCAAGTAAGCGAAACTTACCTTAAAAACTCGACGATACGAATGAATTTAGTCATAAAAATAAAAAGATACACCTAGTCAGAGGGGACGTAATGAGCCTTACCCTCAAATATGCATATTTATACGTAAATAAAAGCTTAACAAAAAAACACAAGAAGTAAATGCAATGCAACACAAAACTAAACTATTTTAATCTAAAACTGTACCCTACGAGGCTTAGAAATCTTAAATTCCTCAATTATCTCTTCATTATCGATATTATTAGCAAACTCTCTTTCAATGTGGAGAATCATGCAATCAGCAAGGAATTCATCAGCTATGGTGTTCCGAAGTGTCACATCCTGGGATCGGCTCCGCCGTAGCACGATATTGTCCGCTTTGGACCCCTCTCTCTCCCCTCACGGTTTTGTTTCTAGGAGCTCACGAGCAACTTCTCAGTGGGTCACCCATCCTGAGATTGCTCTAGCCCCAACTCGCTTAACTTCGGAGTTCCCATAACTCCGAAGCCAATGAGCTCCCAAAATGCCTCTTGCTAGATGGAGGCGGGCATGTACATATAAGGCACATCATCCCCTCTCCGTTGGTCGATGTGGAATGTTACAATCCACCCCCCTTAGGGACCCGACGTTCTCGTCGGCACACTCACACCATACGGCAGAGTGGCTCTGATACCAAATTGTCACATCCCGGGATCGGCTCTACCGTAGTACGATATTGTCCGCTTTGGGCCCCTCTCTCTGCCCTCACAGTTTTGTTTCTGGGAACTCATGAGCAACTTGCCAGTGGGTCACCCATCCTGGGATTGCTCTGTCCCCAACTCGCTTAACTTTGGAGTTCCCATGACTCCGAAGCCAGTGAGCTCCCAAAAGGGCTCGTGCTAGATGGAGGCGGGCATGTACATATAAGGTACATCATCCCCTCTCCGTTGGTCGATGTGAGATGTTATACGAAGTCTATTCTTAATAATTCTCATACATGAAAAAGCTCGTTTCATTGTTGCTATAGAAACAGAAAGAGTCAACACCAACTGAATCAACCTGTAAAACAAATGGTAGTTTTCTGCCAAAGTTGTTTCCACCAATTGTTGACATAACTGAGGAAGAGTGGTGAGGTCCTTAAAGCAGGGAAGGCGATGCATATCATTTTGAAAATACCTCAACTCAATTTCCAAAGCTTTCAAGTCACTTGGACTGAAATCAATAGGATAGAATTTCTCAGCAAGTTTACATAGATGCCCAATATTGAATGATTTGAAGGAATTACGAGGATCCAATGTTGAGCTCAGAATAAGAAGTTCAACTGTTTGCTCTGGAAATCTGTCATTTAACTCCCTCAACATGCAATCTATCACATCATTAAATACATCAATGCGATAGTAATGTTCAATTGTAATCAAATATTTTGTTGACAAGAACGACATGTGCCCATCATATCATGAGAACTTATATCAGGAACATCAATACCATGTTGTTCACAAAATGATACCACACTCATGAATAAATCATCCCAGCCATGTGCCCTCATATCTTGGAACTGTGATTTTGTGTTTTCAACAAAGTTTAAAGCACTGACAATATCTTGAGTTTTTCTCTGAAACACTTGGCAAAGAAAGTTGGCCAATCCCATAATTTTATCCATCAAAAGCAATGCAAATACAAACTCAAAAGACATCATAGCAATATAGTTACTCTCTGCATCGCTACGAAATCGTTGGTTAGGTCCATGTTCACTGATTTCCTGAAGAAGTATTTTAGTCTCTTTAAATAAACTCATTAAACTTGTAATAGAGGCAAAGTGAGATCCCTAATGAGTGGCTCCAGCTCGTTTCAAACTACGATCTTGATTAAGTCCTCTACCTGTCTCAAGTTCCCCAGAATCCAACAACTCTTTGAGTTCAGCTTTTCGAATTAAATTTAACTCATTACGGCGCTTAGCAGAAGCACTAACAAAATTCACAATGTTAGTCAACATTGAAAAAAATCTCCATACAACCTTCACATCTTTAGCCGCACCATTTAATGCCAATTGCAAGCGATGAGTAAAGCAATGCACATAATATGTATATGGACAATCTTGAAGAAACAATGCTTGTAATCCATTCCATGAACCACGCATATTACTAGCACCATCATACCTTTGGCCACGCATGTTTTCCACTAAAAAGCCGTTATTATCAAGCACTTTGCATATCTCTTGTTTAAGAGTCAAGGCATTAGTGTCTACAACACTCACAATATCGAAAAATCATTCACGAATAAATCTATCACAATCAACAAATCCTAAAATAATAGCCATTTGTTCCTTACCTGATTCATCAAGTGATTCATCAACAAGAATACAATATTTTTTCTTCCCAAGTTCGCTACAAATTTTCTTCTTCACCTTGGTAGCAAAAATATGCAAGATCTGTTTTTGTATATCATGGGCAATATACTGAGCATTATGAGGAGTCTTATCTAGAACAACTTTCTCAACTTCTATATTCATTCTTGCAAAAGACTTTAAGATTTCAATGAAATTGCCCCGGTTAGATGAGTCAACGGATTCATCGTGATCTCGAAAAGTCAATGCTTGATTTGCTAGATACCTAATGCCCTCTATTGTGGTTGTAAGTCGCAACCGATTGTCCATCACTTGATGCTTTGATTGCTTCTCTACCACATTTTCAATATGAAGAGATGGGTTTTTTAAGCTAACCCACTTTTGCATAGCAAGATGATGTGGAGAATTTAGTTTGCCTACATGACTTTGAAATACACATTGATTACCACTAATTCTCTTCCAATTTTGAAATCCATGAATAGTAAAGGTTGAATGTGAATGATTCATGTCAAATAAGAAGCAAGGAAAACAAAATGCCAAATCTTTAGCAATTGAATACTCAAGCCAAGGGAATTTACCAAACCACAATTTATTAAATCGATGTAAGTCTTGCCCTTCTAAATGGCTTGGATAGTCTTCTAACTCCGATTGACAAGGTCCTAAAATAATATAGGCTTTTCGCACATTATCTTGTTTATTCACCGAATATTGGCATATTTGACGAAGTAATCCCAGATCATGCTCTAGATAATTGATATTAAAATCTTGACCACTATCGACTCTTTGGGTCTCAACTCTTTCAACTTGAGGCTCGATAATGGGAGAAGAGAGAAGCTTTTGCTCATCACAAATGGGAGGCATTCTAGAAGATGATGACCCATAATTCTTTTTCTTAAAAAAAGAGAACAAATTCTTTGTTTTCTTGAGGTTCCGATTGTGATCTAACATAATAAAAGATAACTTATTTAATCAAACATCCCAACAAAAAATCAAACAATTTCTCATAATAGCATCAATGAATTTAATCAAACATTAACATACCAATAACAATCAAACATCTCAACAATACCAACATCAAATCAAACATCTCAACAAAATTCTTAAAACCAAAGACCTAATTAATTTCAACAAAATCCCCAAATTACATTTCATTCCTAATTAAACCCTAAAAGACTCAATTTCAAATTAAAATTAAAACTAAGATGCATATATTTATTTTAAGAATAACCCAATAGAAGAAGATAATTAAAGAGAAGAGGATAAGAAGAATACTTGTTTCCTTGTATATGAGAAGAGAAAGGGCTGTCGACAATTGCACAGCCAAGACTGTTGAGTTGAGAAGAACTGCCGACTGTCTGTCTGGAATTACACAGCCAAAAGCTATTTGGCTGCTTATAAGTTATATTCCCCCTTTAAGTTTGACTGGGCATTCCATAACACAAGTGTGGACTGATTATAATTTTTTATCTTTTTTTTTAAGTTTTAGTGGGCTTTAACACATGTGGTGTGGGTTTTACACGGGCTGGGTAGGCAAGGGTTTATACCATCACATGTGAGTAGCAATAAATTAGCTTATATATAGTTTTTTTTAAGTGAAAAAATTTGGGGTAGGCAGCTGCCTACCCTACCCTAGCTGTAGGACTGACTCTGGTTACACATGTCGAAAATTTGATCTTGACCAATTACCATGTGCACATGCTTGTGCTGCATGTAGGCATCGACAAATTTTGTGCTACCCAATGTGTTCAAAATATTATACTACAAACTCATTGGTAATTGCGTATGCAGAACTATATGGCCAATTAGGGATCAAACAAATTGGGTGGTGCCTAATGATGTACGAGATAGAATTGTGCTACCACCAATCACACGAAGAAGGCACGGCAGGCGTAAGGAAAAGAGAATCCCATCACAAGGAGAAGAACCATAAACTCGTAAGTGTTCAAGATGTGGTTCAACTAGCCATTATCGACAAACTTGCAAGAATCCGATTGCACTTCATCCTACCTCATAGATGGAGTGGTGTAATATTTTTCTCTTTAATTAACTTTATGAATTGTAATGAATGAATATTTAAGTATATGTTTTTTAATGTAGATCGTTTTATTGAATTTTTTGTTCTACAAACTACCTCTAAATTTGTGACAATTTTTGAAGAATTTAAAGTTAGGTGAAATAATTTTTTTTTAAGTGAGAGGAGGAAATTATACTTGTGCATTGATTCAATCATTTTCTGAATTTTTGGTTCTAAATACTTTTTTTTTTTGCCAAATAAATACATACATTTTATTTGGAGACAAATGGGAGAGAAGAAGAATAAAAGAGATATGCAGATGGGAGAAGAAGAAAAGGGAAAGAGAAATGGAGAGAAGAAGAAAGAAAAATAAAGAAAAGTTAAAGAGAGGGAGTGATGCTGGAGACAAACGGAAGAAGAAAGAAAAAAGAAATAGAGAGGTGATTGGAAAAGTGTTTGAAGGAAATATTCCAAAGTTTTATTTAATAAGGTTTTTTTTTAGGTTTATGTGGGTTTTAAATTTGAGGGCATTTGTTTCTATTTAGATGAGTTTTCTACTATATTTGAAATTTTTTACAAAAATTGACATTTTTGAAATTAGGAATCAAGTTTTGGCTATTTTTGATAAATTCTCAAGTACGTTAGCGACTGAAGGCTACTTTAAGTTAGACTCCATTTTTGGACATCAATAAATTGAAATAACGTTTAATTTATCACTACATTCATCTTGGAAATTAGACTAACTCAATTCTACAGACTGAAACTCGCATTAGAAAATGTTTTCCTGTTGAAGAAGCTAGCTTAAAGTAGTTTTTTAAAAAAAAAAAAAAAAAAAAATTAATGTACATGCCCCCTGTGCTTTTACGTTTATCTCAGATTACCACCTGTGGTGGAAAACGTCTCAAAGTACCCCCCCAACGTATAAATAACCGTCTCAATTTACCCCCTCCGTCAAATTTTTGGACGGTCCATTACGAACAGTGGGCCCCACTTCGTTTTAACATTTAAGCTGTTCGAATAAGGGTTTCTCAGTTTGTAACAAAGGGGAAATCGGGTTTAGGGTTCATTGGAGAAAAGGGTTGTTGTCAAAATCTGAGGGTTCCTTCGATTTTGGGAGAATTTGGAGAAGAAATCATTGTTTGGCGTTAGACTTTAAGGCTAGAAGGTGCGAAGATGGTGGTGTTTAGAGAATCTGGAGGTTGTCAACCCATATGTAAGTGGACCCATTGTTACTCGATTTTCTTGATTTTGGCATGTGCATTGAACTGTTGTTAGGATTTTATTTTATTTTTTATATACTTTTTGACTCTGCTGGTTCTGGTGTGATCATTGGGTGGTCCTTGCATGTTCCTAGTGTGGTGTGTTGCTGGAAATTTTTTTGTTCTTTCATATATTTTTTTTATTCTGTGCTGGCCCCAATATACCTTATGTGGTCCTTGGGTGTTCCTTGTATTATCCTTTGTGTGGTCCTTCTTTTCTCTTTGTGTGTTTTTTTCCATTTGTTAAGTGAATGTTCCTGTTACACAGATAAAGATGCTGATGAGGTTGTCACATTTAAGTTTTTCCATGGAGGTAAACTAGTGAAAAATAGAAAGGACAGTCAGTGGTCTTATTTGGGTGGTGAAGTCAATTGGTTTGATTACTGTGAGGTTGACTATATGTCCATGTTAGAGCTATTTGGAATGGCTAAAGATTTGGGATATGACGATGGGTATGATGTGAGTTTTTATGGTGAAGAGTTTTGGAACTAGTAGACTAATTCAAATAATTTCTGATAGTACACTTTTAGCTTGTATGAGCATGGTACCTAAAAGCAATAGCAGGGTGGTAGTTTTGTACTTGAAGGTAGTGAGCTTGACTTCAAGCCAAGTGGGGAATGACAGTAGTGATAAAGAATATTCTTGTTCTGAGAATGATGATAGCAGTGATCCAGACTTTGAAGACAGTGACTATGCACAAAGTGATGAAGAGATTGACTTATTGAAGAATGATGATAAGTGGTTTGAAGGTTATGTGGATCATAGTATTTTTGACAATGATCCTAATGCAAAGCAAAATGATGAGTCAGACAATGGAGAAGAGTCACCTACACTTACCTGCCCAAATAGTTCACAAAGTGAAGATGATGCAGTGGGTGAAGTAAGAAGGAAGAAGAATAGGATGCCAAAAGGTGAAGATTTCAGACCTGAAATTGATATGGGAAGCCCAAGTTTCAAAATAGGTTTAAGGTTTGCAACTGCCGAGTTGTTTAGAAAAGTTGTGAGGATATACTCCATTAATTGTGGAAGGGAGTTGATTTTTATGAATAATGACCGTAACAAAATAAGAGTAATATGTGAAGAGGGCTGTCCTTTTGTTATCCATGCTTCAAGTGTTAGTGGTAGCACTTACCTGCAGGTGAAAACCTTTAATCCTACACATGTTTATAGCAAGGGGACTAAAAATATACATGCTACTGCTGGCTGGTTGGCTGAAAGATATTCTGGGCAGTTAAGGCTCAATCCAAATTGGACTGCTTCTTCTTTTGTAGAGCAAGTTCACCAAGACTATGGTTACAGACCATCTAGAGCAACTGTGTACAGAGCAAGAGCCATGACAGTTGACATTGTAGAGGGGTCTTACAGTAAACAATATGAAGTATTGTGGGAATATTGTCATGATTTAAGAACCAGGAATGTGGGAAGTACAGTTATCATTAAATCTGAAATGGAAGGTGATAGGTCACGGTTTCAAAGAATTTACATTTGTCTTGCAGCCTGCAAGAAGGGGTTTTTAGATGGTTGTAGGTCTGTGGTTTGCTTGGATGGGTGTCATGTCAAAGGGCCTCACCCTGGGCAAGTGCTTTCTGCAATGGGAGTTGATGCAAACGGAATGTTTCCACTTGCCTATGCATATGTAGAGATTGAGAGAAATTCAACATGGGTGTGGTTTTTAGAATTATTGAGTGGTGATCTTAATATTACGAATAGTCATGGTTATGTATTTATGACTGACAAACAAAAAGGGTTAATAGATGCTGTGGATGCTCTATTCCCTCATGCAGAGCATAGACATTGTTTGAAACATCTATATGGGAACTTCTATTTGGAACAAGAGGTCTTGCCTTGAAACATCAAATGGAAGCAATTGCTAGAGCCACAACAGTGCCATGGTTTCATGCAGAGATGACAAAGATGTTGCAGTTGTCTAAACCTGCACATGATTGGCTCATAGAGAAAGATCCTAGGCATTGGAGTAGGGCATATTTCAAGAGTGATTCCAAGTGTGACATGCTTATGAACAATCTATGTGAGGCATTCAACCGTAGCATAATGGATGCCCAAGACAAGCCTATTCTGACTATGCTAGAAAGAATTCGGTTGTATATAATGTTGATGATGGCGGGAAGAAGGGTTTTCTGTGAGAAATGGCATGGACAAGTTGGGCCAAGAATTAGAAAGATGTTAGAGAAAAACAAAGGAAAAGCTCAGTGGTGCATTCCTAAGGCTGCTGGACAGAATCAGTTTGAAGTAATGCACCATAGTGGCCGCACCTTTGCTGTTGATTTGAATGCCCACTCTTGTTCATGCCATACTTGGGATTTGAATGGAATACCATGTTTGCATGCATGTGCTGCAATAAGTTGGTTTCATGGGAATCCAGAGGACTTTTGTGATGCAGTGTACAAGAAAGAGGCTTATTTGAGAGCCTATGAACCAATGATTATGCCTATGACTAGCCAAGATCAATGGATGAAGGTTAATTTACCTCCATTACTCCCTCCGAAATACCACAAGCAGCCTGGTAGGCCTAAGAAGACAAGAAAACAAGCTGTTGAAGAACCTAAACAACCTGCTAATCCATATAAGCTTCCTAGGTATGGCATCCCTTTAAAGTGTGGCAATTGCGGTGGAGAAGGGCATAATCGAAGTAGTTGTAAGGTTTGTGGTTTTTAGAATTATTGCTTTACATTTAAATGTATTTGATTTGGTTTCTGACTTGATGACTTTGGTTATTAGGAACCTAGAAATCCCAACATAAAGCCTACTAGGAAGAGGAACATTGCCAAGGACAAACTTGCAGTAAGTGCCACGGTTTCAACTATGTTTTCACTCATCAAAATTTTATATCATGGAAACTTCTAATTATTATTTGTTTTAGGTAAGAAGGAAAGATGGTGGAGACCAAAGTGGCGGACAACAGAGTATGCAATTAAGGCAAAGGAAACACTCAAGCACTTCCCAAGGGCCTTCTCAATCCCAGGCATCTCAAGTAGCTGCTGCTTCTCTATCCCAACCATCTGAAGCAGCTGATGCTTTTCAATCTCAGCCATCTGAAGCAGCTGATGGTTTTCAATCCTAGCCATCTCAAGCACCTGAACCTGCCAAATTATCTCGAGTACAACAACGTAGGAGGAGGATGTAAGATCAACAGAGGAGCCATTTTGTCAAAGATCTTTTTTTTCATCCTTGAATGTTGTGGAAGACTTTAATAGTCTAGACATGGTTGTTGGTTTGTGGGATTATTGATGTCTGTTATGGTTGAAACTTGTTTTGGTTGGAACCTGTATATTTGATGTCTGTTATGTTTGGAACCTATTATGGTTGGACCTGTTTTGGAACCTAAATATTTGATGTATGTTATGGTTTGAATATTTGATGTATGTTATGGTTGGAACCTATTTTGGAACCTATTTTGGTTTGTGCATATTTCCTAAGGTTGTTATGGTTGGAATCTGTTTTGGTTTGTGCATATATTCATAAGGCTATTATGGTTGGAACCTGTTTTGGTTTGTATTCTGTTTTGGAACCTGTTCTGTTTTGGTTTGTGCTTATAATGACATGTGCTTTTGCTAGTTTTGGGCTTTGCCTCTTGCTTTCCAGATTCCAGTAAACTTTGGCATGTTACCAAATGCTACATATCCTCCATAAACTTTGGCAAAGAAGGCAGGTCCTTTTTTTTAGGGAAAACTGAATTTTGGTTATCTTCTTTTAGATTCATCAAGAAATTACCATTCAATTTACCATTCATATCACAGATCAAACTTAACTAGCATTACATTACTTAACTAACTAGCATTACATTCATGTCACCATTTGTAACCTCCAAACAACTTACCATTCATGTTGTGGTAACCAAATTAAGTCAAAACCCTAGGTCAAATAATTCATTCCATTTGGGGATTATTTGACCTAATTGGGAATTAATCAACCTAATTGGGAGTTACTCAATTTAATTGGGGGTTACCCAATTAAATTGAAGACTACCTAATTGGGTTGAGAATTGATTCCTAATTCCTACCCCGATTCTCAATTAAATGAGGAGTTACCTAATTGAAATAGGATTTGATTTGATACCTACCACAATTAGGGATTTGATTTACCCTAATAAATCAAATCCCTAATTAATCAAATCAATTCCATAAAGGGGAGGAATAATTCCCTTCCATCTACGGAATTATTCCTCTGAAACCCTAGCCTCCAAGACCATTATAAAAGCATAGCCACACACAATGGTGGAGGTACGTCTAAATTCCTACTGAAACTCTGCAGAAATCATTTCTCACAAACCCTAGCCACCACTTTCTTTCTCTCCCTTACACAAGGCTCCGACCACCACACACGGCTCCGGCCACCCGGTTTTCCTTGAAATACCTTACCTAACTTAGGCATCGGAGGGCCTTTGGCCAACACCCCCCGGGTGTGGTCCTTTTACTCCGATCTGTTTTGCAGAGAGAAAGAGAAGCGGGGAAGACGAAGGAATCTTTGACGAATATTCTCGTGGGAAAATCATTCCCTCCAAATTGGTGCTTTCATTGAGAGCACGAGTTATACTCAACGCGTGCTCAAGGAATCCGTTCCTCCTATTTTCCAATCCACCGAAGCCTTCCAAACAACCATGGTTGGAAGCATGAAGACGAGAGGCAAAACCGCCGCGATGGCTAAATCCGCGACGGCCCAAAGCCACTCCGCCCACGATCCCGCGATCGACATGGTGGCCCCACCACCTCTAACCACCGCATCGGCCACCGCCGCCGAACATGGTGGAACCTCCTATCAAGGTGGGCTTGTTACCACCGCTGACTTAGGCCCGATCTTGGAGCAACTTCAAGCGATCCCTTCATTGCCTCCACGCTCGACACACGCTCCCGCGCACACCTCCAATGAAACCCTAGCCCGTGTGCAATTGGGCTCCACACACTTCTCTCCTCCTGATCCACGAAGTCAAGCAGACCTTAGTCTGAGAGTTGACCAGCTAGCTCAGAGAATGGACAACCAAAGCGATCTGATGAGGCAACTCCTCCACCAAATCAGCTTGGCTCAAAACCTTGGCCTTGGACAACTAGGCGAAGAGAGAAGGGTGGACGAACGCACCGGCAGGCAACTCAACGGGTACCCAGCAGGTCAAGCAGGAGTAGGCAGACAAGGCGAGGGACAACAACTTGATCGGCCTACCGACATGTCACAAGCATCCGTGAGCCCCACTCGGAGCAGATTAAGTTCGAGGAACAACATGCGCGAGAGGCTAGGCCCACGACTTGATGTCCACGCCCGCTTGGGACCGCAGGGAAATGTACTTCAAAGGCTAGGCCCAGGGAGGACAATCAGACAACCATCGCAACGAGAATCGTGAAGAAAGACGCTCGGCTGTCCACTCGCAGACGAACATTCACGAGAGGCTACGTCCCCAGGGTGGTCAACCGGATAATCCTCACAATGAGGACCGCGAAGAAAGACGCTCCGCTGCTCACTCACGAAGAGACGGCTCTCGTCGACCAACTACGGAAAATCTCTCACAAGCGCAGTCCACCAACACTCCGCCTAGGCAGCGCAGACAAGAAAGTCGACACTCGCAGACCCAGGAGGAGGTCAGTCAACGTCGTCCGAATCGCGAAGGTCGCCAACGTGATCGACCAACAATGTGCATGGAGGACGTTGAGAAGCTTATGAATGACCGACTTCGAGATCTGAAGACTGGTGGGAACCTCGACGATGCACTACGCAAGGAGATCGACCAGGCAAACTCCACACCTTTCATTGCCGAAATCGAGCAGGCTGCTCCCCCGAAGCGATTCTCCACGCCTTCGTTTACACACTTCAAAGGGGACTCCGATCCCGAGAGTCACCTAAAACACTTCAAAAGTGTCATGATCCTCCACAAGGCCGACGACGCGTTGATGTGCAAGGTATTCGTAGTGACCTTGCGAGGAGCAGCCCAAGATTGGTTCCACACCCTGCCATCTGGGTCGATCAACAGCTTCAAGAAGTTGGCTTACGTCTTCACCAAAGAGTACAACTCCTACCGGACGATCAAGAAGAACCCTGACCACCTGTACAACCTGCGCAAGAAGTCCGACGAATCCCTTCGAGATTACATAAAGAGATTCAAAGCAGAAAAGGCCAACATTGTAGGATGTGACGACCGGATCGCATCATCTGCTTTCAAGAAAGGCCTCCCAGCTGAACACGACTTGTACCGCGAGCTGACTATCACTCCCAGCCAGACTCTGGCAGAGTTCTACACGACCGCGGAACGCTACGCGCTCTGGGATGACGATCGAATCGCCACAAAAAAGTCTACTAAGCAGGAAGATCAACCGACTAAGCGGGCAGGTCAAAGAAGCGATGGATTTAGCAACAAGAACAAGGATAAGCGCAGGTCACACCCACAAGGAGACGCTACAGCAGGAGAGAACTACACCAAGTTCACCATCCCCATACATCAAATCTTAGCCCAAGTGAAAAACAAACCTTGGGTAAGAAGACCGCCACCCTTGAAAGGAGATCCAGACAAGAGGGATACAAGCAAATACTGTGCCTTCCATGGGACACACGGGCACACTACCAATAACTGCCTCGCTTGGAAAGCGCACCTTGAAGAACTCGTGAAAGAGGGTCATTGCACGGAGTTCATCGCAAAGCAGGCCATCCAGCGGATTGAAGATCGAGACACCGCCAAGGAACCGCCCCAGAAGGTCATAAGGATTAACACAATCCTAGCCGACGCCAAGAAGTCAGGACTGACCAGCAAGGAAAAGAAGAGGAAGATCAAACAGGCCACTATGATCTCCCAAGTCTCGACTGACCTTCCACCAGCAGAAGACGATCCTATAATCGGCTTCCAAAAGAAAGATCTGATCGGCCTCGACATGCCACATAACGATGCCCTTGTCATCAGCATACAAATCGCTCAGGCCATGGTCGACCGAATCCATACAGACGAGGGCAGCGCAGCCAATATCCTGCAACTGGCTGTCATCCAGCAGATGGGCTTGGAGGCAAAGATCAACAAATCAGCCAGATTGCTGACCGGCGTCAATGGCGCAACAACGGTTACCGTGGGCACAATAGACCTTGACGTCTACTCCCCACCTGTAGTCTGCTTGCAAACGTTCATGGTCATTAATGAGGTCTCACCCTACAACGGCATTCTGGGCAGGCCATGGATCGGCATGATCAACGCCATCACCTCTACCACACATCAGAAAATTCGGTACCCAATCCCTGGGGGCGGTGTTGGACAAATCAACAGCGATCAGGCAATGGCGAGGAAATGCTCCGCCCAAGGGCTGAAGAAAAGCAAGCAAGCGCAGTTCCTCCCAGTAAGCCAGGCAGATCTGAAGGAGGTGGAACAATCGAACCTTGCTATCTTATAGCAATCAAAGCGTCAGGACCAAGCCGAGGAAATCCATCCAGAGGTCTTTCCTGAAGAAGGATGGAAGCCCGAGGAGGACATCGAGTTAATACCCTTGGATCCTGACCAGCCAGACAAAAAAGCGCGGATCGGCTCGCGCCTAAGCCCAGACGAGAAGGTGGAACTTACCACTTTCCTCCAGAACAACAAAGATATGTTCGCATGGTCGCCGTCAGACATGCCTGGTATCGACCCGAACATCATATGTCACCGACTCCACGTCAACCCTGCCTACAAACCAGTGGCGCAGAAGAGGCGCAACTTCGCACCCGAGCGGGTCGCCATCATCGAAGCCGAGATTGATAAACTCCTAGCCGCCGGCTTCATTGAAGAGGTCTCCTACTCGGAGTGGCTGGCTAATGTTGTTCTAGTGGCAAAACAAGAGAAGGGAAAGTGGAGAGTCTGCGTCGATTACACCGATCTCAACAAAGCGTGCCCAAAAGACAATTTTCCATTGCCAAGAATTGACCAACTAGTGGATTCCACTTCTGGCAATCAGCTACTCAGCTTCATGGACGCCTACTCCGGCTACAACCAAATCTTGATGCACGAGGATGACAAGGTCATGCCTTTTGGGCTGAAAAACGCTGGAGATGTACGTGGAGGTGTACGTGGACGACATGCTGGTCAAGGCCCCAAAACGTGCAGATCACCTCAAAAACCTCGCTGAGGCATTCAGCCTGCTCCGCCAGTATCGCATGAAGTTGAACCCAAGTAAATGCACATTTGGTGTATCCTCCGGCCGATTCTTGGGATACTTAGTCACACAACGAGGTATCGAGGCACACCCACGTCAGATCAAAGCTATTCTAGAGATGAAGTCGCCTTCCACAGTGAAGGAAATACAAAGTCTGACGGGCAGAGCAGCGGCCCTCAACCGGTTCCTCTCAAGATCAACCGACAAGTGCAAACCATTCTTCAAAGCTTTGAAGAAAGGACAAAGAGACAAATGGGATGAGGAGTGCGAAGTAGCTTTCCAGAGTCTCAAGGCTTATCTCACTTCACCTCCCCTGCTTTCAAAGCCAGTCCCTGGTGAGGACTTGTTCGTGTACCTGGCAGTGTCCAACTCAGCTGTCAGCTCAGCTCTCATCAGAGAAGAGCTGGGGGCCCAACATCCGGTATTCTACACGTCAAAAGCTCTCCTCGATGCAGAGACTCGTTACCCAAAATTGGAGAAACTCATTTTGGCTCTTGTAGTTTCCGCGAAAAAGCTACGACCCTACTACCAAGCTCATCGAGTCATCGTCATGACCGACCTTCCTTTGAGATCAATCCTTCATAGCCCTGATGCTTCTCAGCGACTCATGAAGTGGGCTATAGAGCTAAGCCAATATGACCTCCTCTACCGGCCAAAAGCTGCAATAAAAGCCCAGGCTTTAGCTGACTTCGTAGCGGAGTTCACCCCATCGGCCGAAGAAGAGAAAATGGTCAACGAAAAGAAGGAAAGTTCAAAAGCAGACGGGACCCCCGCTGAACCTAGCCAACCTAGAGACACGTGGCAGTTGCGGGTAGACGGAGCGTCAAACCAAAAAGGAGCTGGAGCGGGTGTCGTCATCATCACCCCGGATGGAACCTTGTTGGAGCAAGCTATCACGCTTGGCTTCCCGGCCTCGAACAACGAGGCAAAATACGAGGCATTGCTCGCCGGCCTGCGCTTGGCAAAGGAACTCGCAATCAAGAAGCTAGCCATCTACTCAGATTCCCAGCTGATCACGAATCAAGTGTCAGGTGAATACATGGCGAAGCACCCAAGGATGATCTTGTACCTTGACAAAGTCCAGGAGTTGTTGAAGGCGTTTCCTACCTTCACCATCCAACAAGTACCCCGGGCAGAGAACGCACATGCAGATGCACTAGCCAGTCTAGGGTCAGCGTTGGATACCCAGTTCAGACGCTCCATCCCAGTCGAACACCTTGACCGGCCAAGCATTGAAGAGGTAGAGCCAATCGACACCATGCGAATTGACGAGGACCCCAGCTGGCAAGACCCCATCATTGACTACTTAGTGAATGGAAACCTACCCGCGGACAAGTCCGAGGCTAGGAAGGTCCAGCAGAAGGCCGCGAGATACTACATGCACGACAACAAGCTCATCCGCAGATCATACTCCGGCCCTCACCTTACCTGCATAAAATACCCTCAAACACTTGAGGTCCTCTGCGAGTGTGGCAACCACTCTGGGGGCAGGTCACTCGCCCAGAAGGCCCTAAACATAGGTTACTTCTGGCCTACCATGCGCCACGACTCCGCTAAATATGTCAAAAAGTGTGATCGTTGCCAGCGATACAAGCCGATCCCTAATTTGCCTGCCGAAGTTTATCATCCGCAAAACAGTCCATGACCATTCATGCAATGGGCCATCGACTTAGTAGGTCCCTTGCCACCGGCGCCCGCCAAGAAAGAAATGATGATCGTCGCTACCGATTACTTCACTAAATGGATCGAGGCCGAAGCTCTATCCTCTACTAAAGAAGCCGATGTGGAGCGATTCATCTGGAGAAACATCATCTGCCAATTTGGCTGCCCACAATCGCTGGTCACTGATAATGGCTCACAGTTCATTGGCAAGCATATCACCGCCTTCTTTGCGAAATACAAGATCAAACAACACCTGTCAACTCCGAGGTATCCACAAGGAAATGGGCAGGCCGAGGCATCTAACAAAGTCATATTGGACTGCTTGAAGAAGAGGCTAGAAGGCGCCGAAGGGAAATGGGTGGATGAACTCCCCGGAGTACTATGGGCTTATCGCACCACCAAGCGAAGGTCAACTGGTGAAACCCCATTCTCCCTCGCCTATGGGACGGAAGCAATCATCCCTCCTCACATCACAGTCCCCTCTATAAACCTCGAGGTGGGCAGTGTTGACCAGAACTCCAAGCAAATGAGGCTCAACCTTGACCTACTTGAGGGCGAACGTGAGAAGACCATTATCCGAGTCGCCTCCTACCAGCAGCAGTTGAAGTCTTACTACAACAAAAGAGCTAAGGTCAGACAGTTTCAACCAGGCGACCTCGTGCTAAGAAAGGCTTTCATCACCGCACCAAGACAAGGGTCGAAAAAGATGAATCCCAACTGGGAAGGCCCTTATGTGATCAGCCGGTCCGGGGGCAGAGGAAGCTACACATTGGACACCATGGATGGGAAGCAAATACCACGACAATGGAATGTTCACCATCTCCGAAAGTATTATCCATAATGCTTCCTCATGACTACTAGAAGTTTCAAGTTTTGTACTCAGTTATTTTCATTTTCGAATAAAGGATTGTAATCTTATGAATATCAATATAAGTTCAGTTTCTCATTCCAAAATGTCTTATCTGCCTACAAAACACAAACAGTTGCCCATAAGCAGCGTCCTAAGGGAGACGCAGGGCGACGACCAAAGCGTCCTTCGGGAGACGCAGCCCGTAAAAAGCGTCATAAGGGAGACGCAGGGTGCGCCAGGAATTTCTTAAAAGGAGGTCTCCATGCCTTCTGCGGGAAGTATCCAGGTTCCTATCCGTTTCCTAAGGGAGGCAGGATAGACAAGCAGTTGCCCATAAGCAGCGTCCTAAGGGAGACGCAGGGCGACGACCAAAGCGTCCTTCGGGAGAAGCAGCCCGTAAAAAGCGTCCTAAGGGAGACGCAGGGTGCGCCAGGAATTTCTTAAAAGGAGGTCTCCATGCCTTCTGCGGGAAGTATCCAGGTTCCTATCCGTTTCCTAAGGGAGGCAGGATAGACACACAGTTGCCCATAAGCAGCGTCCTTCGGGAGACGCAGGGCGACGACCAAGGCATCCTAAGGGATGTGCAGAATACGCCCGGAGCCTCTTAAGGGGGGCCCTGACACTCACCACTTCCTAAGGGAAACCATCCTAAGGGATGCGCAGGACACGCCCGGAGCCTCTTAAGGGGGGCCCAGGCACTCGCCAACTTCCTAAGGGAAACCATCCTAAGGGATGTGCAGGACACGCCCGGAGCCTCTTAAGGGGGGCCCTGGCACTCGCCACTTCCTAAGGGAAACCATCCTAAGGGATGCGCAGGACACGCCCGGAGCCTCTTAAGGGGGGCCCAGGCACTCGCCAACTTCCTAAGGGAAACCATCCTAAGGGATGTGCAGGACACGCCCGGAGCCTCTTAAGGGGGGCCCTGGCACTCGCCACTTCCTAAGGGAAACCATCCTAAGGGATGCGCAGGACACGCCCGGAGCCTCTTAAGGGGGGCCCAGGCACTTGCCAACTTCCTAAGGGAAACCATCCTAAGGGATGTGCAGGACACGCCCGGAGTCCCTCAAGGGGGACCCTGGCACTCGCCAACTTCCTAAGGGAAAAAACATCATACGGGATGTGCAGAATACGCTCGGAACCCCCCAAGGGGAACCCTGTCACTCATAAATCTCCAAAGAAGAAGTGCAATTAAGACAAAAGCTGATTACTTAACAGTTCACAGGTCGATATGCAAATTGAAAGTTGAGAGTAACAACTGAAATTTCCATAACAAGATGACCAACCGGCCAAGTTCAACAACAAGAATATGGTCAAAAAAGACCAATTATTCAAAACAAGAAAGCAAACTACAAAAGCTGAAAAGAAATAAAGAAGTCTTCATCTACTCTGAGGCGCCGGCAGGAGACCTCTGAGTCGCAGCCTCTTCGGCGTCCACCTGATTAGCTATGCCTTCAGCAGCCTCATCTGCCATCATCTCTCCAACTTCTTGCTCTTCAGTTCCTCCTTCCGCACGGGGTGAATCGGGGCAGAGTGTCTCGATGTCTACATCATCAATTGCATACAAGGGAGTAGTCTCATCCGCACAGTGCAGATAGCCCAACTTGTACGCGTCTATGATGGCTTCAGACTTGGTATGCGTGAAATCTAGCCAGGAGCTTGTCATAGCTAAGGAAGATGTCAGCATTCTTACGCTCAAGACTAAAGAAGGCATCTTTGCGACTAACCAAATCAGTGGCAAGAGAGTTGAGCTCAGAATCCTTCTCGGTAAGGGAGCTTTTTAGCTCAGAAATCATTGCCCTCAAATCATGCATCTTCTTCTCATAACGGGCCTGCTCGGCAACAAGATGGCTGGCCAATTCAGCATTCTTCTTCTCCAGCTCGCTAAGCTGAGCAGAAGAGGGGGAAACAGCAGATGAGTTCCGAATGGTCTCTGCAGCAAAAACCAATCCTTTTTTAATCAGATGGAATGTCGCTTCCCTTTGTTTTTCCAAGGAAAGGCTCGAGAAAGTGCCAAGATCGCCTGCCTGACGAATGTGATCAACCAGCTCAGCACATGAGGACGGGTTCGATAGGAAGTTCGTCTTGAGCAGATCAGACACGCATGCATCCCCTGCAGGGTTAGACTTATCCACCTTGGGACCAACCACCGTCGCTGAAGAAGAACCCTTAGCCCGAGCAGATGACTCTCTCATCTTCTTAGCCTCCGCCAACTTCATCTCCAAAGGAGTCAATGATACTGAATCAACTCCACGCTTGACTGCCCACGGTTCAACAGCTGGATCATAAGCAAACCTCCCACTTCGATCTCCATCTTTCGACCGATGCAGACGACTCGAACTTTGAGGAGGAATGTCTACATCTCTTTGACGCTCAGCAGAACTAGGCCGGACACAAGCTGTCTCACGAAGCATGTCATGGTTTTCGAGCGTGTCGGCAGGAGGCTCGGGCAGAACACCCCGAGCACCGCGCATACCACCAACCTTCGTGCTATCTGCACCCTCGAGATGCTTGACCCTGGCAGATGATGACGGAGCAGACCCCACTTGAGTCTTCTCAGCAGAAGGGAGCCTTGGCTTCTTCCTCGGTGGAGACCCATTCTTGGCATGCGAAGAAGTGGCTTCACCTCTGGAAGATTTGGTAGCAGCCTTTCTCTTTGGTGGAGATTCAGCAGAACACTCTTCCTGTACTGTAGGCAGATCGTCAAGGTCAGGGCCATTCTGCTTCCACCTTTCGACATCCTCGGCAGGGGGCAGACCACCGTCTACCTCTCGGTACTCGCTCAACAGCCAACGCCACTCGCGAAACTTTTGAGGGATGTTCAAAGCACGACGGACCTTAGCCATGTCTGGTCCAAGCTCCAATTGCTTGCTAATGTCATTCACTATAAGCAGAAGACAGAAGTTAGTCAACCACACTTTAAGAAATTCAAATAAAAAGGAACATATCAAAAGTCGCAAAAGACATACCATGGCAATAGGTGACGGGAACAAGTGGGCCGTCACGAACGTCGCCCTCCCACCGTCCGCTAACTTCCAACACGTCGTCATGCCAAGCGTGATCTCCCTGACTGAGACCGTCGAACAGCTTGGTCTTGTAGGTGTGAACTTGGGCATACTGCTCAAAGTGCCTCACCTCGAAAAAATAAAAGAACTCGCGCACTGTCAGCTCCAAAGTGAAGAAACGGCTCAGATTCTCGAAGCACATGATTGCCCGGTAAACATTGGGAATACACTGGCTCGGAGCACACTCCATGGCGCAGAACACCTCCTTGAAGAGCTTCGACAGCGGGAATTTGAAGCCCAAGGAAAAGTAAAAAGGACGGAAGGTAATGACCCTAGCGCCGGGATCATTCGCATCTACCAAAGGCTTGCTATCACCCAAGACTTCAGTAGCTTGACCTGCACGTCATCTGGAATGGCAGATTTGAAGGCAGCCCGCCACTTCTGGAACTGAGCATCGGTCATCACGCGGTGCAAGTTGGCCACGAATTTCTTGCTAGGCACTAGGGAGCCTCCCCACAAGTATAAAGGTGCTTGAGAGCTTGGAGCCTTGCTACCGTCCCCGGAAGACATAGTTGGTCAACGAGTGGCTGCCAAAAAAGAAAGAATTCTACAAGTTAGAATACCGGAAAAATTCACAAGTAGAAAAAAAAAAAAAAAAAAAACAACAACACAAAAAAAAAATAAAATTGGATCAGCCCAAGCTGAGAGAAGGATAGCCCAGCAGGTGCTCCAGCGCAGGGCCCAAGTCGCACCAACACCAGTCAGCGCGCAGCCCAGCACCAAGTCCAGCACAGAGGCCCGTCTAGTGCCTGGCCCGTTCGCTCCAAACAGCAGCTGGCGCGGCCCAAGTCTCGCGCAAGGCCCGACTCCAGCGCGCAGCCCGCTCCAGCACCAGCGCAAGTGGCCAGCTTGCCTAGCGCAAGCCCACGTCTCACGCTGGCCCAATTCCGCTCAGCTCCAATGCAGGCAGGGCCTGGAGCCTCCAGACCCCCAATTCGAAGCCCAGCGCACGCCAGCTCGAGCCCACCTCGCATGCCAGGCTTAGGCACCTCCAGACCTCCATGCTCCAGCCCCAAAGCATGCAACTTCAGACCTCCATGCTCCAGCCCGTGGGCACATCTCACCAAACCACGCCCCATGCCTCACAGCTCCAATGACCAGCTAGAATATACGGACCAAGGTGCTAAAAGTCAGAGACACAAAAATTCTTCTAGGCTAATTACCTTGGATGGACAGCAAAGATGAAGTTTCAAGCACGCTGGGAAAGCTCTCCAAAGTTTCTCTCTCTCTCACTTACAAAATCGGTGGAATAGACTTTTTGATGTGAAGAATAAATTGGAGGAGCCCTACATTTATAAGGATCAAAATTCCTTGACCTACAAGGAATCGCAAACTCTTTCCAACTTGGGAGTTCATAAAATTGGCAAGTCAAATACCTCCTCTACTCAGGAGCCCAGGTCCACGAAGGAAGCCCAGTTACAGCTGGACAACCCAACGGAGCATTTACATCTCCTACATGCCACCACGCGCCATGCAGAAGCTGGGGGGGCATTTGTGGTAACCAAATTAAGTCAAAACCCTAGGTCAAATAATTCATTCCATTTGGGGATTATTTGACCTAATTGGGAATTAATCAACCTAATTGGGAGTTACTCAATTTAATTGGGGGTTACCCAATTAAATTGAAGACTACCTAATTGGGTTGAGAATTGATTCCTAATTTCTACCCCGATTCTCAATTAAATGAGGAGTTACCTAATTGAAATAGGATTTGATTTGATACCTACCACAATTAGGGATTTGATTTACCCTAATAAATCAAATCCCTAATTAATCAAATCAATTCCATAAAGGGGAGGAATAATTCCCTTCCATCTACGGAATTATTCCTCTGAAACCCTAGCCTCCAAGACCATTATAAAAGCATAGCCACACACAATGGTGGAGGTACGTCTAAATTCCTACTGAAACTCTGCAGAAATCATTTCTCACAAACCCTAGCCACCACTTTCTTTCTCTCCCTTACACAAGGCTCCGGCCACCACACACGGCTCCGGCCACCCGGTTTTCCTTGAAATACCTTACCTAACTTAGGCATCGGAGGGCCTTTGGCCAACACCCCCCGGGTGTGGTCCTTTTACTCCGATCTGTTTTGCAGAGAGAAAGAGAAGCGGGGAAGACGAAGGAATCTTTGACGAATATTCTCGTGGGGAAAATCATTCCCTCCACATGTCACCATTTGTAACCCCTAAACAAATTACAATGAACAAACTTAACTAGCATTACATTACATTACACCAAATGACATTACATTACATTGCCAAAGTGTCTTACATTAGATTAGCATTTGTTCTCAAATTAAATTTGCCCATTAAACTACTGCCAAAGTGCTTAACTACTGCCAAAATGTCTTACATTACATTAACATCAGGTATCAAATTACAATGCCCATTGAACTACTGCCAAAGTGCCTAATTCATCTTCATGGCAAACACCACCAACCAGGAAAGCAACATAGCAGCCCACAATATTTTTGACTTTGCTCAAATCTTTGCATTTTCCTTCTCCACCCTATCAATCTTCCTCAGCAAACCAGGTATCAACGACTTTGAACGCTCACACATTTCTACATCAAACCACTAAAAAAACCTACATCCTTTTTCTCCCCTTCCCTGTATCAACCAAGAACAATGACTGAAAATTTGGGTGGTAAAATGACTGAAAATTTCATCAATCACTAACAATTTCATCACTAACAACTCTATCAATTTGTGATGCCCAAAACAATGACTGAAAATTTTATCTTAAACATGCTTACCTTTGACTTTGGGCAGACTAGAAATATTCGCCCTAGGTTTGAACTGGTCCAAGAAGTCTGCATCCGTGCTAACTTCCCACAAGGACACCATTGGCCATGCCGTCCTTCTCCTTGCTTCTCTCCTGTTTCCATCATCCCAAATCTTCTACTCCACAATCTTCCAATTTCAAACTCCACCTCAGAGTTTTACAAACAATGATTTCTTCTCCAAATTCTCCCAAAATCGAAGGAATCCTCAGATTTTGACAACAACCCACTTCTCCAATGAACCCTAAACCCAATTTCCCCTTTGTTACAAACTGAGAAACCCTTATTCGAACAGCTTAAAGGTTAAAACGAAGTGGGGCCCACTGTTCGTAACGGACCGTCCAAAAATTTGACGGAGAGGGTAAATAGAGACAGTTATTTATACGTTGGGGGGTATTTTGAGATGTTTTCCACCACATGGGGTAATATGAGATAAACTTAAAAGCACAGCGGGCATGTACATAATTAAGCCAAAAAAAATATATTTTTTCAAGTTTTGGCAAGAAGCTGACTATGCTTAAACTGGCGCCAATGGCGTTTGTTCAGGGCAGCTTCCAACCGCCAGAATGGAGGCATCGGAAAGTAAAGTCAAAGAAATAGCAACGAAAATGGATAATGGTCCAAGTATTTGGTGTTAAGTCCACACGTTATCACCTAATTAACCAAAGAAACCAGACGCATCTCTCACTCACTCTAACCCAAAAATGGTTCTGCTGCTGCAAACCAGGCTAGCTTTCTTTCTAGCACTCTGTGTACTCTTCCTCAGCAGCAGCACAGCGGCAGACGACTCAGATGTGATGTCGAAGCTTGCAGAAGGCCTCAAGAACACACCCGAAGACTGGTCAACAGGCAAAACCTACTGCGACTGGAAGGGCATCGAATGTGTCGGAAACAGAGTCGCCTCCGTCAACTTATCCTCCATGTCTCTCTCTGGCTCTCTCCCTCCAAATCTCAACTCTCTCACTCAGCTCACCACCCTCTCACTCCAAAACAATTCTCTTTCTGGCCCCTTTCCTTCTTTAGCCAACCTCTCTTTTCTCCAAGAAATCTATCTTGACACCAACAATTTCACTTCCATTCCTTCTGGGTGTTTTCAAGGCCTCTTAAGCTTGCAGGTTTTGAACATGAGCCAAAACATCAATCTTGATCCGTGGGTTTTCCCCACTCAGCTCATTCAAGCTTCAAGCCTGGTCAATTTAACTGCAGTTAATGCAAATTTATATGGGTCTTTGCCTGATATCTTTGATTCCTTTCCAAACTTGCAAATTCTGAGGCTTTCTTACAATAATTTTTCTGGGGCTTTGCCCAAAAGCTTTTCGGGATCCGGGATTCAAAGCCTCTGGCTTAACAATCAGCAATTTGGATTATCTGGTACCATTGAAGTTTTATCAAACATGACCCAGTTGAACCAGGTTTGGCTCCATAAGAACCAATTCACTGGTCCGATCCCAGACATCTCAAAGTCTGAAACTTTGATCTTCAGCTTCGTGATAACCTGTTAACTGGCATTGTGCCAGCCACATTGATGTCCTCAACTGCCATACAAAACGTTTCTTTGGACAATAACAAGCTGCAGGGTCCTCTGCATGTGTTCGGGTCCATTGTGACAAAAGCCACATTTGACGGTACTAATAGCTTCTGCCAAACCAAACCAGGACCCTGTGATCCGCAGGTCAACACTCTGCTTGAGGTTGCAGGGGCTTTGGCGTACCCAATTTCGCTTGCTGAGTCTTGGGAAGGAAACAATGCTTTCCATGGATGGAGCTTCATTGTTTGTGATACGCAAGGAAAGGTTATCACTGTGAATTTTGAGAACAAGCATTTCACTGGGATCATTTCGCCTGCTTTTGCCAATTTGACATCTTTGAAAAATTTGGTGTTGAAGAATAACAATTTGACTGGGTCGATACTGGCTAACTTGTTAACCTTGACGCAGCTTCAGCTTCTTGATGTTTCCAATAACAATCTTTCTGGGGAAATTCCGAAATTCTCATATACGGTGAAGTTAATTACAACAGGCAATGTCTTGATTGGGACTACTCCGAGCTCTGGAGGTGGAGGAGGAGGAACTCCATCCGGGTCTGGTTCGAATGGAACTACACCCAATGGGAGTCCGAGTCCGGCTCCTGCTTTGGGTGATTCATCAGTGTCTCCTGCTATGATTGCTGGTATAGTTATTGCTGTTGTAATATTCATTGTGGTGATATTGTTTGTGTCCATCAAATGTTATGCTAGTAAAAAGCATGGGAAACTTGGAAGGGTCGATAGCCCAATGAATGGTATCGAAATTGCTAAGAGTGATGTGATGAGTAGTGCAAATGGGTATAATGGAGTTCAAAGCGATTTGCATAGCCAGAGCAGTGGTGATCTTCATGTTTTTGAGGGTGGAAATGTTGCAATTTCGATCCACGTTCTTAGAGATGTGACAAACAATTTTAGTGAGGATAACATTTTGGGTAGAGGAGGGTTTGGAGTTGTTTATAAAGGTGAATTGCATGATGGGACTAGAAATGCTGTTAAAAGGATGAAATCTGTAGCAGTGAGCACTGAAGGAATGAATGAGTTCGAGGCAGAAATTGCATTCCTAGATAGGCATCTAGTTGCTCTTTTACGATACTGCATCCACGGAAATGAGAGGCTTTTGGTGTACGAGTACATTCCACAAGGGACATTAACACAGCACTTGTTTAATTGGCGTGAGAACGGCGTACCTCCTCTTACTTGGAGGCAGAGAATCACAATAGTATTGGATGTGGCAAGAGGAGTTGAATATCTGCATGGCTTAGCTCCACAAAGTTTCATTCACAGAGACTTAAAACCCTCTAACATTCTTCTAGGGGATGACATGAGGGCCAAGGTGGCCGACTTTGGCTTGGTAAAATGTGCCCCTGATGCGAATTCTGTTGAGACTCGGGTAGCAGGGACGTTTGGTTATCTTGCACCAGAATAAAAACACTCTTAATTTTTTATCTGTTCATCTCTTAGTTGAAAGAATCAAGGAGCACTGCCTAAACTTCAAGGATATCAGATTTTCAAAGCTAATCTTATGCCTGTTGCATAAGTGCAAGCTAATCTCATGCTTATTTTCACAAGTTTTTAGAACTCCACAAAATTAAGGAGAAACAGACAGTTGAGTTCACTTGGAATTGATGCTACTATTGTCTAATTGTCATAATTTGGTTTAATTCATCCTTCAAAAAATATAGCACACATGTGGTAAAATTTAAATCCCCTTCTATTACCTCTCAAGAATTTATGAACTCTATGGCAGTAATGTAGTTATGCTTGACAACTGATGTCTCTGAATCTATGTCTCTATAATCAGCTACCGGACGAGTGACGACAAGAGTAGATGTTTATGCATTTGGAGTGGTGTTGATGCAACTTTTGAGTGGGAAGAAGGCCTTAGATCATACAATTCCAGATGAAAGGTCTCTCTTGGTTACATGGTTCCGCAGATTCCTTATTAAGAAGGAATACATTCCAAAGGCTATTGACGAAACTCTTAAGAACCATGGTGAGGAGACAATGGAGTGTATATGCAAAGTCGCTGAGCTAGCAGGACATTGCACTGCTCATAATCCATTCCAAAGACCAGAGATGAGCTATGTGGTCAACATCCTGGCTCCTCTGGTTAGGAATTGGAAGCCTACCAGTCATGAAGAAGAAGAAAAGTATGGCATTGATCGGCACATGAGCCTTCCTCAAGGACTGGAATGGCAAGCCAATGAAGATGCTTCTGATGTTGAAGTCTCTTGGCTTACCAGTCTTCCCAGAAGTTTAAGTTAGGATTTTGGACCAACAATTGTTTTATATTCTATCACTTTCCCTCATATGTGAGCCTCTTTTCCACATTTGGAAAGCAAGAAAATTTCTGGGGTCTCTTTCTTTCATTATACATACAAATCGTTTCCAATTGGATCACATACAAAGCTAACCTTAAGTCACAAGTGTGGATTAGGGAATTAATTTTACAAATATACCTGTGTGAATTAACGATTACCTCGTGCATGTGCCTTCAGTTGGTGCCAAGGTTCTTAGAAAGCTTATCTCTTTTACAGATTTTAGCATCATCTGCCAAAGTACATTAGCGACTGAAGGCTACTTCAAGTTAGACTCTATTTTGGACTCAATAGATTGAAAAATAACGTTTAATTTATCACTAAATTCATCTTCTGCTTTTAGGCCATCTCCAACCCAAGGGGTGGAAACTCAAATTTTGAGTTTTGAGTCTAAAAAACTTCTTCAACCCATCTATTTTGGGGGGTGAAAATTTGAGAAATCTCAAATCTTGGGTGGAATTCCAATCTCATTATTACCTGGACTGATAATTTTGTCATGCCAAATATATATATATATATTTTTTGGCTGAAGCCCACGACGTGCTGCACAATATTTGCTGGGCCTAGTTTTGGTTATTCTATTTGGGCAGCAACTTTGTGCGAAAAATCTGATGCTTCTGTTTTTATTTTTTATATATATAATATTCCAACAACTATATTTGTAATCAACGATCATGATTAATTTTAAGCAATCTTAACGGTAAAATTTTATGATTGTCGTTTATTTTTCTATGATTAGTCTTTTTTAAATTCACTGATAAACCATATAATTCATTAAAATCACACAACCACTTTTATAATTTAAACACACAACATAATGCTTAGATAATTTAAACACACTTACATATTTCAGTGAAGGGTTCGAATTATTCCGGGCAAATGTATGGTGTTGTACTTGTTTTTATTTTTAAGTGGAACTCTATTATGTTTTGGAATTTTAATTTTTTTTAGGTTAAAATGTTTAGAAAATTAAATCACGAGTATTGAAACAAAAATCATGTAAAAAAAAATTAACAAGAAAAAAATTTAGGGGTTAATCATTCTTAAACAATTTAATAAAGTTGCGGATTCAAATTATGAGTCTGCAATGTTGGAGGAAAAAAAAATTTGAAGTCCTGAAAATACATGAATAGTTGTATTTTGGAGAGTGAAAATTTAAGTTTAGCCCCAACATAGTTGGAGATGGCCTTACCTAGGACAAAATTTGAAAATTAGACTAAGTCAATTCTACAGACTGAAACTGGCATTAGAAATTCGTCCCCAAAAAAATAATAATAATAAAAAAGGGGCATTAGAAAATGTTTTCCTGTTGAAGAAGCTAGCTTAAAGTAATTTTTTAAGTTTCTGACCCAAAAAAAAATTTTATTTTAAAGTTTTGGCAAGAGCTGACTATGCCTAAACTGGCGCCAATGGTGTTTGTTCAGGGAAGCTTCCCACCGCCAGAATGGAGACATCGGAAAATGAAGTCAAAGAACTAGCAACGAAAATGGATAATGGTCGAAGTATTTGGTGTTACGTCCACATGTTACCACATAATTAACCAAAGAAACCAGATGCATCTCTCACTCACTCTAACCTAAAAATGGTTCTGCTGCTGCAAACCAGGCTAGCTTTCTTTCTAGCACTCTGTGTACTCTTCCTCAGCAGCAGCACAGCGGCAGACGACTCAGATGTGATGTCGAAGCTTGCAGAAGGCCTCAAGAACACACCCGAAGACTGGTCAACAGGCAAAACCTACTGCGACTGGGAGGGGATCGAATGTGTCGGAAACAGAGTCGCCTCCGTCAATTTATCCTCCATGTCTCTCTCTGGCTCTCTCCCTCCAAATCTCAACTCTCTCACTCAGCTCACCACCCTCTCACTCCAAAACAATTCTCTTTCTGGCCCCTTTCCTTCTTTAGCCAACCTCTCTTTTCTCCAAGAAATCTATCTTGACACCAACAATTTCACTTCCATTCCTTCTGGGTGTTTTCAAGGCCTCTTAAGCTTGCAGGTTTTGAACATGAGCCAAAACATCAATCTTGATCCGTGGGTTTTCCCCACTCAGCTCATTCAAGCTTCAAGCCTGGTCAATTTAACTGCAGTTAATGCAAATTTATATGGTCTTTGCCTGATATCTTTGATTCCTTTCCAAACTTGCAAATTCTGAGGCTTTCTTACAATAATTTTTCTGGGGCTTTGCCCAAAAGCTTTTCGGGATCCGGGATTCAAAGCCTCTGGCTTAACAATCAGCAATTTGGATTATCTGGTACCATTGAAGTTTTATCAAACATGACCCAGTTGAACCAGGTCTGGCTCCATAAGAACCAATTCACTGGTCCGATCCCAGACATCTCAAAGTCTGAAACTTTGTTTGATCTTCAGCTTCGTGATAACCTGTTAACTGGCATTGTGCCAGCCACATTGATGTCCTCAACTGCCATACAAAATGTTTCTTTGGACAATAACAAGCTGCAGGGTCCTCTGCCTGTGTTTGGGTCCAATGTGAAAGCCACATTTGATGGTACTAATAGCTTCTGCCTAACCAAACCAGGACCTTGTGATCCGCAGGTCAACACTCTGCTTGAGGTTGCAGGGGCTTTGGCGTACCCAATTTTGCTTGCTGAGTCTTGGGAAGGAAACAATACTTGCGATGGATGGAGCTTCATTGTTTGTGATACGCAAGGAAAGGTTATCACTGTGAATTTTATGAACAAGCATTTCACTGGGATCATTTCGCCTGCATTTGCCTATTTGACATCTTTGAAAAATTTGGTGTTGAAGAATAACAATTTGACCGGGTCGATACCGGCTAGCTTGTTAACCTTGCAGCAGCTTCAGCTTCTTGATGTTTCCAATAACAATCTTTTTGGGGAAATTCCGAAATTCCCAGATACGGTGAAGTTAATTACAACAGGCAATGTCTTGATTGGGACTACTCCGAGTTCTGGAGGTGGAGGAGGAGGAACTCCATCCGGGTCTGGTTCGAATGGAACTACACCCAATGGGACTCCGGCTCCGGCATCGGGTGGTTCTTCAGTGTCTACTGGTATGATTGCTGGTATAGTTATTGCTATTGTTATTTTCATTTTGGTGCTTTTTTTTGTGTCCATCAAATGTTATGGAAATAAAAAGCATATTGTAAGGATAGTGGATAGTGAAAATGGGTGCAATGGAATCCCAAGTGATAAAACTGGCCTTCATCTTTCTGAGGGTGGAAATGTTGCAATTTCGATCGAAGTTCTTCGAAAAGTGACAAACAATTTTGGTGAGGATAATATATTGGCGAGAGGAGGATTTGGAGTTGTTTACAAAGGTGAATTGCATGATGGGACTAGAATTGCTGTTAAAAGGATGGAATGTGTGGCAGTGAGCACTGAAAGAATGAATGAGTTCGAGGCAGAAATTGCATTCCTAGCTAAGGTCAAGCATAGGCATCTAGTTTCTCTTTTAGGATACTGCATCAATGGAAATGAGAGGCTTTTGGTGTACGAGTACATGCCACAAGGAACATTAACACAGCACTTGTATAATTGGCGTGAGAACGGCGTACCTCCTCTTACTTGGAGGCAGAGAATCACAATAGCATTGGATGTGGCAAGAGGAGTTGAATATCTGCATGGCTTAGCTCCACAAAGTTTCATTCATAGAGACTTAAAACCCTCTAACATTCTTCTAGGGGATGACATGAGGGCCAAGGTGGCCGACTTTGGCTTGGTAAAACATGCCCCTGATGCGAATTCTGTTGAGACTCGGGTGGCAGGGACGTTCGGTTATCTTGCACCAGAATATACAGGTGAAGAATAAAAACACACTTATTTTTTTTATATGTTCATGTCTTAATTGAGAGAATCAAGGAGCATTACCTAAAAACTTCAAGGATATCAGATTTTCAAAGCTAATCTTATGCATGTTGCATAAGTGCAAGCTAATCTTATGCATATTTTCACAAGTTTTTAGAACTCCAAAAAAGGAAGGAAAAACAGACAGTTGAGTTCACTTGGAATTGATGCTACTATTGTCTAATTGTCATAATTTGGTTTAATTCATCCTTCAAAAAGTATAGCACACATGTGGTAAAATTAAATCCCCTTCTATTACCTCTCAATAATTTATGAACACTATGGCAGTAATGTAGTTATGCTAGACAACTGATGTCTCTGAATCTGTCTCTATAATCAGCTACCGGACGAGTGACGACAAGAGTAGATGTTTATGCATTTGGAGTGGTGTTGATGCAACTTTTGAGTGGGAAGAAGGCCTTAGATCATACAATTCCAGATGAAAGGTCTCTCTTGGTTACATGGTTCCGCAGATTCCTTATTAAGAAGGAAAACATTCCAAAGGCTATTGACGAAACTCTTAAGAACCATGATGAGGAGACAATGGAGTGTATATACAAAGTTGCTGAGCTAGCAGGACATTGCACTGCTCATAATCCATTCCAAAGACCAGAGATGGGCTATGTGGTCAACATCCTGGCTCCTCTGGTTAGGAATTGGAAGCCTACCAGTCATGAAGAAGAAGAAAAGTATCGCATTGATCGGCACATGAGCCTTCCTCAAGGATTGGAATGGCAAGCCAATGAAGACGCTTCTGATGTTGAAGTCTCTTGGCTTACCAGAATTCCCAGAAGTTTAAGTTGTTAGGATTTTGGACCAACAATTATTTTATATTCTATCACTTCCCCTCATATGTGAGCCTCTTTTCCACATTTGGAAAGCAATAAAATTTCTGGGGTCCCTAATGGTTTCCCCTACAAGTCTATCTATTGAAATACCAAGTAGGACCCTGGCTCCCTACTGGTGGACATTTTGAAACAGCAACTAAATTCTCATTTAACAAATTTAATAGTAGCCAACCTTTCTTCTTAAGGATTAGAATAAAATACTCCAATCGAAATGCTAATCCGGTGTAACAAACGAAACCAGGTAGAACCTAAGATGTAACCTTTTCTTAAAAAACATAAGAGAAAACGAGTTATGGCATGCTTGAAATTGCTTTTGAAAATGCTAAGATCATTTTCTAGCAATTAAAAGTGTCTTTAAAAGATTTTGGCAGAAAAACTGAAAAGTGATTGTAGGTTATAAAAACACTTTCAAAGAAGCATCAGAAAGCACTACCAAGTCATTTTAAAGAAAACATCACTTCAATTTTTAATACAAATTTTCTAGTGCTTCCAATAAAAACGCTTTGAAAAACACTTATAAGCATAACTAGGGGCATAGTCCTTCGGAAATTACACATTTTATAGAAGGGTGATTTGTTCAATGGTAGGACGGTTGTGTCTTTTTATATATTTTGGTAATGACATGGATGTCCTCTTGCCATTCTGTCAAATTGAGCTCTTGCTTTTGGAGAATGAGATTCTCTGTCTTACTGGTAAGTTCTTCACTTGAATTGATGCTATTGATGTTGACCTTATTATTACTGAACTGGTTTCCTGTGTTTATTGTTGGGAGATTCTTTGTTATCTTTTGAAGGATTGAACATACTATTGGGAGAGATAACTTTGTTATGCTATGTCTAGATAAATATTATTTTTGAACTACTATGAGATTATGCTAGTGAAATAAAGGCGTACTCTTCCCAGATGTTGAGATAAAAGCTTGACTTGTTTTAACTGAGAAAACGAATGAATGTTGTGGGTATTTTCAACGTACATGTGACCTAAATAACCATGCTCAATTAAAATTGCTAGGTAATTGGAATGTTATATTGGTTATGCTCTAAATATAACTCTTTATATGCTGGCTAAATAACCAATTTCATCCAAAAGATCCCTCCAGTGAGGGAAATGTTCTTTTTCGGTCATGAAATTGGATGGAAATTTGGACATGTCCTTGAAATGCGATGGATATATCAAATTATAAGGGTCAAATCGCCATAAATGAAACAATGAAAACCAAAGTAAAAACTCCGACAAACTACATAAACCAAAACTGAATTTTTGTCAAAATTATACATATGTCTCCACCTCTCTTTCGAAAATTGCAGAGAAAGAGGAAGAAAATTAAACACAAGGTCATGTTTAATAGTGGGAAAAGACTAAGGTTGTTGTTCTTGACCTCAATAAAGACTAAAGTTAACAACGGTTGCTATCTAAAGAGCGTGACTTTGCTGGCAAAATGTCTTTTGGTGCGTTTCACATGGTACCAAAGTATAATGGAATCCATTGAAAGCTTTGACGGGCTAATTTAGCTTAGCAATAGCAACTAACGTGTTCATGGGGGTTTCTTCTTTGGAAAAAAAATGTAGGAAATGGTTGACTCAACTTTTCTTTTTGGCAACTCAGAAAGGCAAAGCACTGCCAAGTTGCCAACGCCAAAATGGCTGTCGAGGAGCGAAGCTAGTAAGCAGTTTAATCACAAACACCGAATATCATAGCACGTTTAGTGGTGCTGGTGAGGTTTGAACCAGATGCCAGTATTTTCATGACTTAGTAATTTATTACGGAGTATAGACTTTTTCACCAAGAAAACCGTTGTAACAAAAGAAAACTTCTGTTTTTTTATTTTTTTATTTTTTGCCAAATTTAGAAAGGGGAGGGGAAAAACTCACACTCAAGTACTATGAAAACTTGAACTAAAGACCACTTAGTAGGAGTACACCAAAGGCTTGAGCCAATCCAACTACACCTCATTGGTAGAAAATTGTTGTTATTGAACTGCAGAGTTATTATTGAACGGCAAGATTGAACTCCTCAAGACACCCTCAACATAAACCCCTTCAGAGCATCCACAATGGGTTCTCTAAACCACCTCCTTAGACAAATAGGAATTGTAAAAATGCAACTCCAACAATGCTCCATATCCACCTCCTAAAATAGGGAGTCATCTAGGAGCTCCTAAATCTGATGAGAGAGAAAGGACTCCTAGTGGCTCCCTATAATTTAATGTTGTTTTATTTAATGAGTATTTCAAACCTTTATTTAATGCTAACTATTTTTTATTTTATTTTTTAATAGAGATAGACCAATCAAAAAAGAGTTATAGCATTTATGACTCTCCAAATTAAGGAGTATGGTTGGAGTTGAATTTTTTTAGAGAGCTCCTAAAATAACTTTCTTATATTTTTAGCTAAGAAATAAAGAGCATCATTGTGGATGCTCTCATATAAATGTGCGTATGCCAACAATTTTGTACCTATGTATGTATCCAAAATAATGTCCCTAATCACGAGGTAATAATCAAAATTTAGTCTTCCACTTGATTTTAATGAAAAAAAGCTGTCGAGCTCTAGCACATTGGAAATGACCTTGACTTGCGAATCAGTGGTCTCAGGTTCGAACTCCCATGACACATTGACAGTGTGTGAGAAACCTCCCCTCTCCTAATATCGCTTGTATAAAAAATAAAATAAAAATCTTATCCAAAAATTTATTTTTTATTTTTTATTTTTTTAAAAAAAACATATGCTCTCCTATGCATGTGTTAGCCAAAGTTAAAGCACCTTGTCCGGCCTATGATTGCAACAAACGGCAATTTACTTTATACATGACAGCTCAAAGAGGCCCAAACCAGGATATATGCTTATCCTTGACCTGCTGTGGCTTTGACATTCAACCATAAAATCCTTGTCATTATATCATTCCACATAACACAATCAATCAGATTATTGGTTTCTTGGTCTCTTGGTCTCTGTCTCCTCTTTCTTACGTCGCTAAATTAACAATCAATTCACATGAAGGAAAAATAAAGGCTGGCCGATATCAATTGAAAGGAAATATATGCTTATATTAAGGTCCCTACAACATGTGCAGCACTACAAAAGTCATCTTCAAAACAAAAGGTCCACTTTTCAAGTCACCTAACATGTTTCCTTCCAAATCCTCTCCTCTTCCCCATGTGCAATTACGTACAGCTTCAACACCACCACCGAATTCCCTTATAAATATTTAAAACAATACATCTACAAACATGCACATCAACTATACTAACATGCACAACTCTCTCCCTCTCTCACACGCATATCAACCTAACCCTTTAACAACCAAAATCTTTGTTTCTTTTTTCTGTCATTAAATCTTGCAAAATAATAACTTGAATCCTAAGCAGTCCTGTTACACAGCCTGGAGAATCATTCAAACACATCAAACATAATGATTTGTCATAAGAGCAGAGCAAATTGGCAACAGTCCAGCCAACAAGCATTATTCAAAGTAAAAGAATATCATTAGAAAAAATTGCCTTTAATGAGTATGGTAATAGAATATTATACAACAAACTTTCTTTAGTTTCCTTCATTTTTCTTTCTCATGATCACCAACTCAATCTGTTAGCTATCAAAGAATCAACAACATAAAGTTTTTACAGGTTTCATGCAAGCTCATTAGTAACATAAGGATCGTAAAAACAACATGAAAAAAGAATAAATACAAGAATCTTCGATACACGGGTGATCCGCTCGGATCAAAACTGCTTGATGCATTACCTGCTTTTTTACTCGATCGTATCTTCCTCAACCCGACATTTTTGGGTCTCTTTTTCTTGGTTTTTAAAAGTGAATTGATCTCTAGCTTTTATATCATCGACAATCCATCGAATCGAATGAATCAGCAAATCCAGAAGGTTTCGAAGGGATGCTTGATTGAGTTTGAGAGTAGGACAGATCATCAAACATCCTGGAAGTACCTTCATTGGCTTGCCATCTTTGCAATGCTTGAGGAAGGCTCATGTGCAGGTCAATGCCAGAATTTTCTTCTTCTTCATTGGTGGTAGGTTTCCAGTGCTCAACAAGAGGACCCAAGATGTTGACTGCATGTCCCATGTCTGGTCTCTGGTATGGCTCACGAGCAGTGCAGTGTCCTGCCAGCTCAGCAACTTTGTATATGCTCCCCATTGTCTCCTCATCAGGGTCAAGAGTTTGGTCGATAGCCTTTGGAATGTTTTCTTTGTTGACAAGGACTCTGCGGAACCATGATACCAAATGAGACCTTTCATCTGGCATGGTATCATCTAGGGCTTTTCTGCCACTCATCAGCTCCATTAACACTACTCCAAATGCATACACATCTACTTTTGTCGTCACTCTGCCAGTAGCTGATCATAGAAACATAGATCCAAAAATGAACATTCTATCATCACGACATATATATCATAAAGCAAACTGAATCCATATCAAAAATTTTACAAGGGATTACAGTGGGTCCTATGTAATTGAATAGGCATTTTAAATTGCAGTTTTGCAACATACATGTATAGGATTAGCTTGAAAATCTGTATACTCGAAGCTTAGGAAATTGCATGATTCTTTCAATTAAGGGATGAGTCTAGAAATTTTCTTACCTGCATATTCTGGTGCAAGATACCCAAATGTCCCTGCCAACCGTGTCTCAACAGAATACTTTCCATCGGGGGCATTTTTAACCAAACCAAAGTCAGCAACCTTTGCCCTCATGTCATCCCCAAGAAGTATGTTAGATGGTTTCAAGTCTCTGTGAATGAAACTTTGTTGAGCTAAGCTGTGCAGATATTCCACTCCTCTTGCCACATCCAATGCTATTGTTACTCTCTGCTTCCAAGTAAGTGGAGGTACTCCGATCTCACGCCAATCAAACAAATGCTGAGTTAATGTCCCTTGTGGCATGTACTCATATACCAATAGCCTCTCATTGCCATTGATACAGTATCCTAAAAGAGCAACCAGA